GTGATGCCTGCATTTGGCCAAGGGAATGCCATCCCCTGTGGGTGTGCAGCCACAATGCTTGTGTTGGCAGGCACAAGTGCTTCGCTGTCTGCTGCAACGTGAAATCCACTGATACGAGAAAGGGATTTGTCATCACAGGTCTCAGGGCTCTGAGCAGCCGGGTGAGAGCTCAAGAGCCGCCTGGGATGCTTTGGATGGCTCCATGTTCTCACGCCGTCCTGCAGCAAAACATACCCCTGTGGCTTCCTTGGATGGAGGGAACCATTGGGTTCCTGGGCTGGTTGCTGCGATTGCTTCTGTGGTTTGGTGATCCCATCCCGTCCCATTGCATCCTCCGTGCCTGTGGTGGAGCAAAGTCCCTGCTCCTGAAGTGCCAGCACTGGAGCTGGCATTTTATAGATGCTAATCCCAGGTCCTAACAATGCCAAGGAGGAAAGGGTGGAGGATATTTTTTTCTTGGCCTCCAGGGATTGAAATAGAAGAAGAAAGTCAGTTCTGCCATATCCAGTTACTGCAATGTAATCTAACTGGGCCAGTTTCACTGATAAATTTGACTGGCAGCCAACTTGCTTTGTCTTCCACGGCCTGAAGCTACTGAAGTTCAAAGAAGACTACAACCAGCGTTTTTCTCAGGACCTCTGCCACTGCCCTCTGCACCAGCCGGAGCTGTACACCCTCTCCCGGGGTGCCTCTCCTACCCGTGCCATCCCTTGCCACCATCGCGAGTCCTGTCCCGCAGCACAGACACACACACTCAGGCATCTTCCAAATAACGTAGTGTTTAACCAGACAACCTCCCAGCTCTCTTTTTTCCAAAACCTACAAATTTCCTCCCTTCCTCCTCATCATGGACACTTCCCTATCCCAATTCCCAGTCGACTCCTCATCTTCCCATGGTTAAAAACAAAATAGCATCACTAGTGATGACGAATGCAAGAGTCACCCCTGCCTGAAAAAGCAGCTTTTTCAGTGTCAGCTCTCAGTGCTCGGATCACCTGCAAACCAGTGCAAACACCTGCGGCATCACTGGGATAACTGGGATAACATAACAGCATTTCTCTTTCCAGGCAGGTTTGTCCAGCAGTGCTTGTGTTTCCCCACCATGAGACAGCATATCAGTGGGAAAATAAACCCAGTGCCCTTGTGGTGAGGGGCACGGCGCTTTCTGCCCCCCTGCCCACGTCAAACGCCACATATAGATGGTGAAGGCTGCGAATGCCTTCTCCTCACAGCCAGAGCAAAGCTCCCAGGCAGCACAACCCCCCCTTGGAGAGGGGTGGGGGGAACTATTTAATGTCTTGTTCAGGTCTCCAAAATAAACCTTCATTTATTTCTCCTATAGCTGCAACTTTAATCTTTTTCTCCCTGGTTTCTCCCAGGCTCCGGTCAGGAGAGGACCCTCCTATGATAAATTCTGCACACATCCATAAAGAGCTATTTCCAAGTGCTCCCGAGCAAGTTAGAGCTCAGTTACTCAGCTGTGAGATCCAAGGTACTGCTGGGTGACCGGGAATAGATAAGGAACCAGAGCCAGAGCAGGCAACAGAGAGGTATCCACATAAGCCCCTGGTCTGCTTACACTGCTGAGACTCCTCAGCCCTGTCCCGTCACAGCAGATGTGAATCCAGCCCGGGACATGAAATCTGCCCGTGACTACACAGATAAATAGCTCAAGAGTCTCCTTCTTTCACTTTCTGGCTCAGCCTGCCATGAAAAACTAGGGAAACCAAATGCTTCCCAGCCTCCCACGCACAAAGCACATACCAAATATTCTTAGTGCAGAGGTTAATAAATGTTACAGAGAAGTGGGATTGGCTCCCACTAAGGCAAGGCACAAAAAGAGGAGAGGAACTAGCACAAAGCTTTCTAGCTGAAAGCAAGCTATTAAAGTATTTGCCAGGTGCAGAGAAGGAGATAAATGTATCCAAATCAAAATGAAAAAGAATGATTTTAACTGAACAATAAACACACAACATACAGCTTGGGGCAAAACCTGCTTCTCGGAGTGATTTCCACAAAGCAGCAAACTTTATTCCACAAGAACCAGAGACTGTTTGAGCTTTTGCACAAGAAGCAGTGAAAGAACTAAGAATCCAGAGACCTCCAAAGGAAAAAAAAAAAAACCAAACCCCAAAACAAGCAGGAGGAGAAAGAAAATGCAGCCCGTGGGATTGCTGTCACTGCACGGGCCCCTCCATCTGCCTTCTGGGAGTACCATCTCTGCTGCTAGCCCTGCCAAAGGATGTTAGAGCAGAGGCAGAGAGAAAATCCCTGGCACCAGCACAGGTTTTGGCTTTGTCAGTAACACCAGGATTTCATGAAATACCCCGTTCCCTCCCAGAGCGCCTGGACCAGCTCCCTGCCTTGCTCCTCTGGTCTCTACATGACAGCTATTCCTCTTTAGCAAGCACAGCACGCCTTTCTTGAGGTTCATGTTTTCCATCTTGTCCCCTAAAACAGCCCAGCAGAGTTCACGGGTATGCCCCTGCATTTCCCACAGAAACAGCTCAAGCGTGGGGAGATGTGACTTACGTCTATCGAGTGTTCCCTCTGAATTAGTTTCCTGGTGTCCTTTTCGCAGTGATTGAGCATTGTGTCGCAGTTTTGCGGGCCAGATGAGGAATTTTCTGTTTGGTTTTTCTGACTGAGCTCCAGAGGGATGCTTCCATCTGGATCCACCACATCCAGCTCCTTTTCCAGCTCTTCCATCTCCTCTGGAGACAGAGTAGACAACAAACTGTCAATATCTGGATCTTCACTAACTTGTCGCCGATATTTGGCCACTTTGGACATCTTGGCTCGTTGGCGAGACACGGTTGCGGTTGTGTGTGGTACCCAAGGAAGGAGAAAAAAAAGAAGCCGAAGCTCCAACACTGCTTCCCCCAGAAGCAGCAGGTGCTGAAGTGTTAAATCTCAGCAGCTCTCAATTGCTGCAGCCTGGGATATAGTAGTTATAAAGAGGGGACACCCCTCGGCCCTAGAGTTGGCCAATAACAGGATCCAGGCACGATTCGGGTGCTGGGAAGCCAATGGAGCCCAGCGGGAGGCGGGGAATGGTGCTATCAGAGGAGCCTGAAACCCGAGGACATTCCAGGGAACCATGCAGAGCTGCATGACCAAATTTAGTACGGAGCATTTAGCCTTTTAAAGGCAATGGGCCAACCTAGTGAGAAAACGCACAAAAATGCACAAGCTGGCAGGCTGGGGATCTGCGGGGTGGGGGAGGCAGATCCCTAGCATGTGCCCATCAGTGCCGGAGGGCTAATAAAGAGGTCAGCGTGGCTCTGAAGATATGGGGAGTCTCCTCCGTTACAGCAGGGGAGAGTTTCTGCTCTGACAGTGACAGCTCTTGGCTAGAATCGACAATAAAGCACCCATCCCGGAGGAAGTTTTCATCTTTATCCTGCCGCTCTCCAGGATTGGTGTGGTTAGCCAAAGTGCACGGCCCTTCAGGAAAGAGGCGGTGGGTGGTTATGTTGCTGGTGCAGACTAGATGCTTTACGAAGGATGTACAAAGTCCAGCACCTTTAAAGCGGGGAGGAAGCAGGCAGCGAGTGCCAGCCCAGCCCGGCGCCTGCTTCTTGCTCTGCACAGTCTGACCCCAGCACCATCCCTGGGTCGCTTTATCAGAGCTTCTGCTGATTCCCTGTCCTCTGCTGGAGCTTTTCTGCAGCTGCTCTTCATCACAACACTCCCGTTTCCCCTTGCCAAGCCCCAGAGACATCCCTCCTTCTGCACAGACTAAATTCCTGAGTCTCTCCTGTTTCTGGTTCAGGCAGTGCCCTAAGCCTGGGCTTTGGTTGGAGGCACCTACTTTCCATCAGCCTAATCCATAAAGAAGCTTACTGGCACCTGCAAGTTCTCCCAGAGGGACGGAGGCAGAGCGGCTCTTCTCTCCAAGTTTCAAGGCAGCTTTACCCCATGCACAGCATTTTGTATCCATTCCTTATGCTGCCAAGTTAATCTTTTTTTCTTCATCCTTTATCATCCTCCTAATATTTACTGCCTGCTCTCAGGCCTCTCTCTTTGCTAGTTCAAACAAGCAGCCCTTTGGTCGTCTTCTGTAAAATAAGCTCTCATAAGATTTTCCTCATCAGCCTAATTACCTTCTCTGCCCATCTCCCTGGCTCAGATCCCATCCAGAGCAGAGGCAAAGGGTGCTCTAGGTGAGTCTGCCAATGCCTTGTGTTACAAACTAGACATTCCCCATCTTGACGGGAAACGCACATTCTTGTTGCATTCTAGGATTCCATTTATCTCCAGCATGAGAGCGCCCAGCTCCTGCTCATAGCCTTCCTATGATTCACCAGCACGACTGAGATTTTTTCCAGATTGTAAAAGATACTGTTGGTTTTAGTTTCCAAGTGCAGAACCTTAAACATTGCCGTGTTGAGTTTCATCCCACTTCACCCCATCACTTCCATCTCCCTGATATCATGACCGTCGTCTTGGTGCTCACTTGCACCAAGGACTAGGAGGGACATCGCCATCCCCATCACCACCTTCTGTTCTCAGCCCAGTCAGACTCTTCCCCTTCCCTCACCCCACAACTGCCATGACTGCAACAGCACTGAAGGCAACAGGAAGCAGAGTGAATTTGGTGCCCTCTTCATCTGCCCTGGACGCTCTCTGGTTTTCAGGACACAGTTCACAAGGCAGCGAGGAATCATAGCTATGTGTCTCCCTCTTCCAGGCAAGATCCAAGCCTTCTCAGGTGTGCCACCCCTGGCTCCAGGGACAGGGCACTGGACAGCCCCAGAGACAATCTGCAATGCTAAAACAGAGAAAGAACCTTTCCACTGGCAAGTAAAACCTGGAATTACCTTTCTGCCTCTCTGCCTTTCCTTCATGACTGTTAAGTGTGTTGTAAATTAGTTTTCAACAGAATAAAATCACTATTGACACCTTGATAATGGTCTCTATTTTGTTGTCCCTGAGTCTTGACTCCTGTGACAAGGACCAGACACTGAGTTTCCTGAGAAGCTGTAAACATGACCTGGGAAGCTCAGTTTCTCCTCAAGTATCACACATCCTTCCCTGATTTAGGAGCCCACATCTGCCAGGCTGTCCTCCACTGAGCTGCAGAGCTGGCTATGCAGAGGTAACACAGAATTTTGCAAAGAAATATTCCTTCATTAGCAGAAAAACCGGGAGAGAAGCACTGCTCACTGTAAACTTGTCGTGGTTTATAGTGGATGGTCTTACTGCAATTTATCTTGGCTGTCACACATCTCTTTTTAAAAAGGGGTATTAACATAGTTCTGACTGCACCATATTCCACAGAGTTATTGGTGCTGTGAGAAAGAAAACACCAGAAAGAGAATCTAGCGTTTCACCTCAGAATGAGAGGAGCTGCTCAGCACTGGCTGCTCTTTCATGGGCCACCAGCAACTAGGAGCGGGGAAGTGTCTAACCCTTTGAAGCTGTGCCAGTCAGGAGAGCACGGTGTGGTGTGGCATGGTATGGTGCAGTTTGGCACAGAGGAGCTCCCAGCAGCTCTGAATCTCCGCTGAGGCTCCATCAGTCTCCACATTCATCAGAATCCCCATCTCCATAGCAACCGGGCACCTTGCAGGCACTAATGAATATTTCTGCACAACACTCATTTGAAACACAGCAACGTGATTAGCCACATTTTAGAGATGAGGAACCGAGACAGAGTCAGATTAAGTACCTTTCCAGGTAGAGGGTCTCTGGCAGAGTGGGAGAGTTTTCCATGCCCCCATCTCTTGTGCCACCACCTAGGACCATCTGCCTTCCTTTATTTTTTCCTATTAGTTGACAAAGGACAACTGAAAATTGGATGGATTCCTCTAATCTGTTTCATTTCCATTTCCTTCAGAGGTTGCAGGAAAAAAAGTTAAACACCCTGATCATTTTCTTCATTCCTCCCTGCCTGGCTGGGACACGTGGCCGCTCTGGAACATGTTGGTCCCAGAGCCAGCGAGAAACCACTTCTCTCCTAAACCCAACTGCAACTTCACCCAAAACCTCCCTCCATAAAACACCTGCTCACACAAGAGAAGTGTGAAGGCATTGTATGTCAGGAAAATAAGTGGCTCTTGGCTGCAGGGAGATTCACAAAACCTCAGAAAGCCCCTGAGTACCTTCCAGCTGCCTGCCTGGGGGTGCCACCAGTGCCCCCAGCTGAGCTACTGGAGGTCCCTGGGGTGACTCTGACCACTGCAGCTCAAGCGCCACATGGGTTTGGCAGAGAGTTTCACAAGTTCTCCCACAGCTTGTGAAAGGGATGACCACAATGGTCATTCAGCCTGATATAATTAACCTGCCACTTATCAGGGGAAAAGACAAGGGCTACTGCAAGAAATTGCCACACTAAGGAGGGTCAGACCAGTGTGGGACCAGTCGCAGTAGCAAGAGAGGACACGAGAGTGGAGAGGTCTGCTCCCAGGCTTGACCAGGCTGGGATGAGGCCGAGATTTTCCACTCTTCCCGTCTACCCTCCTTGGCCAAAGCAGAAGCCACAATACCACCTTCTGGTAATCTCCATTACTGCATCAACCCCTGCTCCAATCCAGCCTTACAGACAAAAACACCATCTCCACACTCAAGACCTTGAAGGCTTACATTCAGGAGGAGTTTTTTAAAGCCTTCAAAACCAGAAAATTAAAGCAGGGGAAACATTCCAGCTCCTTTCCATTTTTTCAGCCCATGATTTATTACAGCAATTAAGTGCCCCAGCACACGATCCACACTGCCTGTTGCAACCAAATGATTTACTGCCGTTACAAGAGAGTGCAGTGTGTAAGGCTAAATTAGAACTGTGAAAAGAATAAGCAATTTACAACTTAGACCGCTTGCAGACATGTGGGAAAAGGCTTTGGGGGCTCTGCAGGTTGCCTTTGCATTTGCTGCCAGAACAGAGTCTAATTCTGCAGTTTTCAGCTCTGCCTTCCCAGCCTCCCTGGAGAACTGCTCTGTCGCAGGCACTGTCTCTTGAGGGGGACCTCAAAACCCAGCTCTTGTCCACGCTGTCTGGCCCACAGGATCATCCCCAGGGACACCTCGAGGTCAGCCCAGCTGATTCAGCAGCACCAGGAGCGAGGTGGGTGCTGCTCCTGTGTATCTCAGCAGCTCCAGTGGGATGGACACCCTCAGCACAGGCACATCACCCCGCACCAAGCCCTCTGTCACCAGGTGCACGTCCTCCTCCAGTTCAGCCAGGTACTGCCAGGCTTTGTCTCCTTCCAGGGTGCTCACCCCATTTTCTGACAGGATGCACTTACAGACAGATCCATTTCCTGAAGTCTCAAGGCTCAGCAGAGCTGATCCCTGATCCTCGACTTTGCTCACGCTTTTACTGCGGGCACTACTTATCAGAAGGCTAAATAAAAGCTGCTTTGTGTTCCTGGCCATGACGCGGGCCTATCCCCAACAGAGACGTTACATGCTTTTTGTTCTGCACCGGAGTCTCTCCTCACCCCCGACCCGCACCCACAGCTAGCGTTCAGAGGGCCCTGTGAAGCCAGCCCCACCGAAGCGCCCTCTCCCCTTCCCCGGGGACACACCCATGGCCATGCCCGAGAACGGCAGATGAAGCGGGCCCTGTCCCGGGTGCGGCCTCACGGCGGGCCGAGCGCCCGGAGGCCCCGATTAAGCGCCGCG